TATATCTAACGATAACGCGGTTAGTCGCGCTTTCATATTCGCGGGAACCCCCTCGATCAGCCTCGCATCGACAGCCTATTACAGGCGCGCGCGATTATAGGTTATGTTTCGTCCGGTCTCCGCGACGGACTCGCGACGGAATCGAGATTTTTCCATATTCGCAGGAACGCGATCGATGAGCGCGTAACAACGTTGTATCGACAAGCTATCGCTGGGTATTTCGTCCGACGCGCGATTATAGGTTATGTTTCGCGCGTCGCTCGGACTCGCGACGGAATTACATCGGTACGGGGATTTTTGTCGTGGCGAGCGTTACGATGAGTGGAGAAGAAGGCGTGATTTATCGGCGAAACGTATCGTTACCGTTATCGCGAGTTCGATCAACGATATAAATCATCGTATCGCGGCGCGATCGAGAGTCGGAATTTATCGCGGCGCGCGAAGATTGCTCTGTTTGTATAAAAAGAAAGGGAATCGGACGAAAAGGCAATAATTCGGCGTCTTGATCGCGTTAGCCGAAAATTCAATTTTACGTGACAGAAGTGCGAACATCGTAAAACCTTCAGCGACGTTTGACCTATCGATTTCGTCTTCCACAATTTCTGCCGAGGGGGATCGGCTGTAGCTTATAGATGAATTATAGTTGCTCTTTGCTGTCGCGCATTCAACGGTGATGTATGACTCGGCGGGAGATGGTAGGTAGAAAACATCCACGATGTACGGCCTGTTAATAACAGCAAGAATGAACGAACGGCTGCACAACGCGGTACACAGATGCCGCTGGCGGCTAGACCCCCTTTGTGTTTTATTACAAACGATACGTCAGCCACGATGTATGGGCTGCTTTTATCTGCGGCCTGTTATTGATGTGCTAAATTGTCTGCTCCGACTCGTAAGACTGGCCAGGATGGCTGATAGACGTCGTTCGAGGGCACGATCTCGACGACAAAAAGATTTAGTCGGTCACACCCTCCTGCTTCCTTTCGCCAAAAATTATCCCAAATATCCGGCCACGCGAGGTACGCGCGCCCGTGCGTTATCTGGGTCGTCGAAAATCCGCCAACTCTGCTCTCCTTCCGACCTATTCCCACGATACTCTCTAATTAAAATTCAAAGCTCTTTTTACAGCTGCTCGGGCAGCAGCAGGTTGATAGTGGTTCGAGCAAAAGAGAAACTCGCGTTCCAGAAATAACGGGTAATAAATCGTTTGTCACCTTTATTCGTGCCTCGCCGTACGCGTTCCCGTTTTTCCCAATTATCCAGATAAACCTGGATGGAATAAGAAAAAGGCAGCGAGCAAAAGAGAGTACCTATTAGACGCGATGTACGCACGGCTGCTTGCAAAATAACCAGAAATTCCCACCCGAAGCGTGCCGTTTTGCTTTTGAAAAACTAACCGCGATGGATTTACAGCCTCGCGCGTGCCGCTGAAAAAATCCCCATTCCCGGCATGACTTACCGAATCGTTCCAAGGAAAAAGCTTTGAAAAATTATTGCGCCTCGGTAACAAGAAGCAACGCGTCATGCGCTACCCTATTACTTTTATTGACGCTGCAATTTTCCGCGGCAATGCCGGACAAAAGTGACTCAATAATTAAATGAACGTAAACAAAACCGAATTAACTCTGCCCTGTTCGCGACAAACGGTGCTTTCCACCTATTGTGTAACCGATAAACCGAGGGAAAAATATGCGGTACGTGCATCGTCGAAATTTCAATCAGCAAATAATATCGCAATTTTCTCTTTCCGTTATTTTTATACTACCGTATAAAGGAACGCGTATCGTCGGTGCATATAATAGTAACTAATTTCGATAAAATATGACGTACGTAGAATCTCGTACATGACGGAGTTTCCAATCGTTTAACTACCATTGTGGCTCCCGATAACGTTCAAACGGTAGATTCATGTTTTTAAATAGATCTGCTTGCGATTCGTCGACCACGCGAATTATTCGATGATTAATTTTCCATATTTTTACGTTAAACGCGCGAAGAAAATACCATTGAAATGTATAGTAAGCGTGGAATGAATTACTTCCATCGGACAAATGGACATCGCGTGAGTTAGTACGCGAGGAACGATATACCATAATCGAAATTACTCGAGTCGAGTGAATTTTCAATTTTCCTCTCGATGTTGGTTTATTTTTCAAAAATATTCGAGACTAACTTAACGAACAGCTGTTTGAAATGTGGTACAGGATGGATGCGTAAAATCATGCTTAAGCTGTGACCAAAGTCACGTACAACGGAGTATTTTTTGTTCCTCCTCGAAGTGGAAGAAGCGACTCCATTATTAGAATGGTTTAAAATAAATTTCTGTCATACCCGTTAATCCTCGCGTTATTTAGTATTCTATAAAAAAAAAAAAAAGAAAAAAAAGCACGGAAACCATAAATCCATTTCATTAAAAATAGGTATGGTTAAAGGATGATATATTTAAAAGAGAAAATACAGCGTTTACAAATTTTCGTTGCACGTTTGACGTTCCAATTTCCAACCGATCGATAATTTCATAAATTAAAAAGAAAAGATATATACGGTTTCGTTGCAAATAATTTCAAATAAATTCGAATCGTGAAAAATTATGAAAATTCATGAGCATGCGAATGATACATCGACGATTAATGAAATAATCGATAAATCGTTACCGAAATAAAAAGGAAAAGTTAATTCTTCTTTTAATTTATTTTATTTCAATTTGCTCCAATTATATTTTACGATTCCCCGTTTTCGAATTGTTTGCAAAAATTCGAACTATTTGCATTTAGCATCCGATCTATTCCTAATTACATCTCCGTAGTCGAAACGTGACTTATGTTTTATTTACACGCGATAGATTGGCGGATTTGCGTCGGTAACGTAATCGGTTTAATATTAATTGGCCAAGATGCGCAGCATATCTCTTGGTAGATTCAATCACAAAGGGGTAAGTCACGTGGATCGATGCATGTACGCGTAAATACTCTAGTTAGAACGAACGAGTCACTAATTGAGATTCAACGATGCACATAATGGCACCGAAATAACATGAATTCCAATCCATGAAACGGGCCGGGAACGCGAAATACGAGGAAACTATTCATCCCGACGGTTAAAATCACCGAATATTTCACTTTGCTGAGCCAGCTGAGCCTGCCACCGCCTGTCGTGGCACCCTGGCGGTGGAAACGACGTTCGCAGAGGGTAAAGCAAGTCTTCCCCCTCCGCCAGCCTCTAAAAACCTTCAACCACCCACTCCGTCGCCCCCTCTCCGCATTTTCCTCCCTACCGCCGCCGACAACCCTGCCCGCCGCCCCTTTTCCTCCTTCCGACACTAGGCTGCAGATTTATGCGCCCCGCCTTGCAGCGCTGATATCCGAGAACTCGCGACCTGCTCCGTCCGTAATGAAAGAAATAAATTTACTCCGCTGGGTACCCCGGGGATTGAGACTCACCGTTCCGTGCGCGCACACACCGACAACGAGCACCCTGGTGGCGCGAATCAGAAGCGCGTGGATACTCGCCCCGGGGCCCTTCTCTATCTCTGCCTCCGTGCCTTCTCTCTCTTCCCGATCCGAATCTTCCATTCGTCGCACAATTTTTTTTAAACACGCACACGGTCCCCGGACGCGATATATTCCATCGGCACGATTACCGAATAATTCCGAAATTTTTCAGCATCTACGGATCGATTTTGAGCACTTGCCGATTTTTGCGTCGATTCCGAGCAGCGATAAATATGTTTCCACGAGTTTAAGCGAACAAGCGACTTATTCAGCGGTGGAACGAACGTTGAATAATTTCGTTGACCGGTAGTAACGTTGATACAGACGAGCGATTCGATAGCAACGATGGCGACCTCCGTGGTGGCCGTTACCGTCGTGCGTTGTATCGTCTATACGAAGCTCGTTCGATGACCGTATTATTTCAGCACCTCGGAATAATATATACGTGGACGTGGTTAAAGTCGGTTGGATCGAAATCAAGAAATATCGAATGCGGAATCGGTGTCACGAATGCATGAATAAAAAGGCGAATTTAATGATTTCACAAACATTGTTTTTATTAAAGCGGTATGGAAACTCAACGATATTTACAAGAGATATTTACAGTGCAAATAATGTCTATCGTACAGTACGTTTCCTCGGTCGGAACACTTTACGTAATAAAAACTGAAAATCCGATGTATCTCTGAATAAATTTAAAAGATCTTTAAAGATTCTCCCGTTTTACGATAATTGCATATCGGGAGACTCGGGAAATAATATACACATTTCGTTTTCGGTTTAACCACTTTTACAACCGTTTTCTTACACAAACGATACGAATAAGTTAGACGATACACTTTATTATAGATATAGTTTAGATACCATTGTTAATATTATCTCCTATTATTTTTTTCGAAAAAATAGCGTAATATCACAGTTACATCGTGGACAATAGAACATGCACGACCGTTTCGAGATTCGCGCCATGAAATATACGTTACGGTGGAACGATGGCGGTCGATCGACGTGTATCGCGACACGAGTCTACAATTTCCATCAGCACTTGGAACACACTGTTTTTGTAAGACTAATCGTATCACTTGAAACACAGTCGAGAAACCAGCGAACGTTTGCTTCGCTGCCCGTCGGGCACGGAAATATTAAAACGGCACAGGAAAATTTCGATACCGACGACTCTTGTTCCCCTACTGCTCGTTCGTAGGTTGTTCAACTCGGTCACGAACATCGAGATACAGCTTACGCACTAGTAGCGTGCCGCGTAGAAACATTCCTACCGACTCGAACATTCTCTGAAAGATTTATCCGCGGTGTACATGTTCTTCCCTACATAATGATCAAACGTTTAGGAGATACGTTAATACAGGTTTTCCGCAAAAAATGATTTCATGATGAAACGTTATTTATATATAGATATCTTTTTAAATAAATTTATATTATACACATTTAATTATTTACACAACAGTTGGTCAAAAGCTGGTTTTGACGAATTCCTATTTTACACTATCATGGACTGTACACTGAAAAATGTTTGCACCGGAAATCCAGTTTAAGGATGTACAGCAGCACCGATTCGCTGGCCGTAGATCGCGTACGGTGAATAATAAGGTCCTAATGCGTTGAAAGCGCTGTAAGGCGACGCGGCGAGCGAGGCTGGAAGAGGTCCCGTCGGTGGTTTCCCGTACGGATGATATCTAGCGCTCAACGGGCTGAGAGATGGCGTCGGGTAAGTACCGCCGCTCGCGCGATGTAAAGCTGCCGACGGCGAGAGCAGTGGATGCGGGTGCGGATTGCTGAGCAAAGCGGCCGAGGACGACGCGTGATCGCCACCGGTTAAACTGGTGTGGCTGCGGAGATGCTGCAGCATCTCTTCCGACGTGGTAAATCTCTTTCCGCAGTAAGAATCGCCAGCGATCCAATTACACACGTACGGCCTACTACCGGTTAACGTGGACGGGTAGGAAAGCGACGGAGGTGCCATGGGACCAAACGACGATAACGCCATCGCCAAACTGTACTTCTGATGATCGCACTGCGTGCATCCGCTGGGACATGTTCCGGTACTCATCATGAGTTGCGCGCTGTGCATGCTATATTGGCAGCCGCTGCAATACGGATCCTTGCAAACTGGCACCAAGGCCTCTCCACCGGCCGGTGTCTTCACGCGAGCGTAACTCAAGTACGGATTTCCACCTGTCGGTGTGCTCGACGGATAACCCAAAAGAGCTGCCGCGGCAGCGTGATGATGCGAGAAAGGAGACGCGCCGGCAAATGGCGGTCGAAACGCTGGATTCTCGGCCAGACCGGGCGGGCAGCATAGCGGGTTTCCGGAAAATCCGGGAAGACTAGGCTTGTATGCACCCAAGTTCGAGTCTTTCGCGTGACCGCCGGAAAGAATCTCCATGCCGGATCGGATAATCGGGCTGGTTCCGTTGTTGTTACGCGGTGATCCGTCAGTCTTTTCTCGATCCGCCGGCGTTTTCCGATCAGTAGATGGCGTAGTGCTTGCCGTCGCCGTCGCCGTCGCTTGACTCGCGGGCGAAGCCGACTTTCGCCCGACGGGCGTGCGATTTCCCGACGATTTCTTCTCGGCATGATTTGCCGTATCACTTACACTCACACTCTCTTGACCACTGACACTGTGAACACTTGCTTTCGACGCGGGTCTACTGTCGTCGCTAGACTTTTTCGAGACAACGTTAGTTTCGTACGGCTTGAAGGCCAACGACTTCCCGTCCGACGGGCTGCTGCGTGTACTCCGTTCCAACTTCGCGGCTGGTGGAGATTTTGCGTTTGTACCGGTATTCATGCCTTTTGGCGTTTTATCCAGCGGGGAAATCAAAGGCTTTGTCGGAGAATCGGCGCCTATTTGACTGCATGTTTGGGCCAATAAAGCTAAAGGACTCTTCTTCGCATCCAACTGGAAAATAAAGTTTAGCACTTTGTTACAAAGAATCGACGCACGATTCACGAGCTTATTACCGAAAGTTTGAACAGCGTTGGCGTGTACAAAGTGGATTTTATTAAACGTACGAGAGAGAAAGAGCGAGAGAGAGAGAGAGAGAGAGAGAGAGAGAGAGAGAGAGAGAGACTCGGACGACTTAGCGTACAGCAACCCGTCGGATACCGCGTACCGTCGGTCGACGACCAACCAATGGTACACGATTCTCGTGTTAGCGAGGTTAAGACGAACTTTCTTCGAATTTTACGTACAATGATTCACGCGTTCCCGATTTCGATCCCAACGTTTATCGTGACGAGGGAAAAAGAAGAAAAGCGAAAAAAGGAAACGATGTGTTGTAAAAATTATAATACTTTTCTCGTTCGACGAGCCCGTTGGGAATTATTTAAACAGCCGAAAAGTCGTTGCAACGAAAATGATACTTTCCGAATGGAATACTAACCGTGGTTGGAAGCGGAGAAAGATAATCCGGTTGTAGATATTGATTGTGTCCAGTAGTCAGCATACCGCCTTCCTCGAGGACAACCATTTGGTTTTGCACTTATTTAGCCAATCACTGCACAAAACTGCTGATATATTTGCACAAATCACGAAACCGAAACAAACTGATACGCAAACGTTTTGAAAATATTCCGGGGCACGGTTACGGTATACGCGTTGGTTGATCAATCCCTCCGTGGTGCGAAACGATTAAACGCAAACGATGTATACCGAATGGAATCCAGGAAAATAGTGGCAGCTCTCGACGGAGCTGTTCGGTGCACGGAGTGGAATGCGACCGCAACGCCGCCTGGCGACACGATCCGTTCTCTTCCCCTCCTTCTTCGGCAAGCCAGGGTGTATAACCTGTCCTCTCTTGTCGTCCCCCACCATTCCTAGCCGGAGGATTATGGTGGGAGAATTGCGGTGGGGTTCGGCCCTGCGTGGGGTGTGGGAAGGCATTCTAATTCAACACGCCACCCATGATGTTGGCCCGACGATGACAGCTCCCATCCCGGCTTTGATATTTCACCGCTTTTACAGCCGTCCATCCCCTCCCCCCTTGCCGCGGCCCCTCGGCTCACCGTACCCCCCACCCCCGTTATCCCACTCGTCCGTTCCCTTGCTCTGCACACCCCTTCCCGTTTGCCTACCATAGCTACCTCGACACGGAACCGTCCCTGCCGCCACGGCAACCCGATATTTTATACCGTGAAACCTGTCTGTCTCTCCGACCGGCCCCGCTTAATAAGCAGCTTTCAAAATAGAAATGTAATGGGTCGGTGGGGAAGGGAATGTCGGGTGATTGATTGCTCGCTCAGCGACTTACCGACTTGCCACAGCCCACGGGGTAACGAATGACAGCCACTTAAGCGCTGTTTGCCTACAGTTTTGTAAAAGCGTTTTAATTATCGCCCCGACCGCACCTCGACTTTGTCGCGCACTGACTCACCGGATACTAAACGATCCGAGCTACTGATCTCTCCTCCGACTTCCGTGCTAAGATAACACCGATTCACTCGTAATACCCAACGTTATACGGTTCCTCGCGGAGTCATCCTTCTCCCGGAATTTATCCAACAAATACTCACCGGTCGTTCGCGTTACTCTCGAATAAACCTTGCTTACATTTTCGATAATAGCCTACGCTATAAATAACTTCTCCGACGCGGTGCACTTTGATTTCTATATACCGTGTATACCTTTGCCGGCTGCCTGTCGCTGCTTATCCTAATACGTAATCGGACGGTGTATATCAGTCCGAGGAAAAATACCCTTTTCGCCACTCGCCAAACTTTCCAAATACCATATTGCGATAGTACTTATGCAAAACCTTTGAGACTGGCCGTGTGTTTGCTAGATTCGCCTATTAAAAGCTACGTACGCATCGTGACTGCTGCACCCGCCAAACGTGGCCATTAAAAAACTTGAATACCAGCTGCATTGCGACTCAAACGTTCCGCGCGGTTAGGGGATCGTGGCCATTTCACGCGGTATGACTTTAAGTAAGATAAAGCGATCGGCCGAGTAGTTATGTTACAAGGTAATTACAACGAATTATGACAATATCCACACGCTGGCCACGTAGACCGCATAGCCGTGGCGAGCAATAATTAGCCCGGGAAACACTTTGCCTCGGTATGTAAGCGAATAGCGTCTAAGAAACGTACGCAGCTATGTCAGTTGTCGTTTAAATTTAAATTCATAGTGTTCTCGGAATTTCCAAACGATATAATACGCGATAATCTACGAACATTGTAGAATGCTAAAATACTCCAGATTAGATTTCAATCTCCCCGCTCGAATTCTTACGATAAATACGAGTCTTGATATTCGCGTATACCGAAAAATCCTTACAGACTATACCTCTTTGTTCCCGATTCGGGGCACCGTACTTTAATTATCGCGTTGTAATCATTTTCTTTATACACTCGCGCGTATTCAAAGTGTTACAAACGTTGGTGATTTCATTTTATTTCACATCCTACGCGTATAGAACCGCGATTTATTTAACTCGGTACAGGGCCTTTTTAATTCGCCTACCAGTCGGCAGCCAATTTCTACGATACTCTAGAGCCTTCGTTATGCGAAATACACCTATTCGAATATTTCCTCAACACTTTATTATACCGCCGCTCCGTTTTATGAATGGTACGAGCGTGTATATGTTTCCAATTATAACATCGTATATTAAATAAAATATCGAATAAACTCTTTATTTTCTTCTATAATATAGTCCATCTATAGCGAATCAACGCGAAATCGCCACGGTACGTTATCCCGTTCTAAAATTTCGTTATTTCAATTTCACTGGCAGCAATTTCTTTTGGGCCGCGCGTTATAATTATCCGCTTTATTTCGGCTTATTTGAAATATCAAACACGCGCGAATCCTCGCGTGTATTGTAATTAACTCGCGTAACGGGGGTTCCCTGGTGTTAGAAAATATCGGAATATTTATACGTGATCGCGTTCGCGGTATATACTCGTGCGTTATTAAACTTTTGTTGCTTTCCGCTATCCCAGATGCTGGCTCACCGATCGAGGCTGCGAGGAGCTAAAGAGCCCGAGAAGTAATGATAAATAACAGGGGAAATCTTGGAATAAGAATGATCGCGCGTGTATATTGAATTTCCATTTTCAAGCAAACAGTCGGAGACAGGATAATATTAAATCTTTCTATCGTGTAATATTTCCCCGAAGAAATAAAGGTCTCGGGGAGTTCTACTTCCATTCTACATCCGTCTTTGTCTTCCCGTATCTCCCTTGTTCCTTCTTTCTCCTTTCTCCTGCCCTGTTTCTCCCAAGTTATGGCGCCGTTAATACCCCAATGGCAAGTCTTTGACGTTTTGACGCTGACGGATGAGTTTACGGCTAATATAGTTCTCTTTCATCTCCGCCGCTCCTTCAGCCCGCGTTTCGGAGATTTCAAAACGACAGCTACCAGACGGATAAAGATTCACCTTTGATGCGATCGTGACAGAGGCAGTGACATAAAACAACGTTTATCGAGTAACATCCGATGCCAAGTGCGTCTCTGAAACATATATTATCTTAATTGCCGGTAAATACATACGTGGGTAGCAAAATGGTGGTATTTTCGATAAAATAGGTCGAACGAAAATTCCTTTCCTTCCGATAATTTACTTATTAATTTTACATTAATCTTGGCCGCTCGTCTCTTGATTCGTTCGATTAAATAATTTATTACCGTTACGATTGCACGAAGTTAGATTAACGTGGAATTAGAATAGATAATTTTACGATATAATCTATTTTCGTAATTACGTAATTATATACATATATCATACATACGCCGGTGATTATGTAAATAGCCTAAGTCGTGTACGCATAGTTTCGAGGTATTAATTAATATTAATTCGTAAAATGAAAAATTAATTACGATACGATTACAAGCTCGATCTGAAAGTTGAACGTTATGCCTGGTATAACTTTGCGAAAATTATTCCGCGCTATCGCGATGTAAATTGATGCGAAGGTAAAATAAGCGATAAATTTATTCGTCTTAAATTTATTCGTCTTAGATTTAGCTTGAACCACTTCCATAACTATCGGTAAATATTATACTATGCGTGCTCTGTGCTGTGACTATATTATTCCATTAGGGGCGAGCATACGTTAATAAATTTTTCCGAAACCTTTCTCACGAGTAAATCATTTTTTCCTTCCTTCGGTTCGCCATGCTAGGCCAACTATCGTTACTCTTCGCGACGTTCTCGTGCAAATTCAACGTGTCGGCTATAAAGTCCGTGATGGGTAGGTAATACGATAAATAAGGTAGGAAGAACATCTCGTAAACACAAAAGGGCACGTCGCATTTGTTGTGACTGGGTTATAATGTTCCAAGCCATTGTCAACCCGGATTAGGATATTGGTTACCCATTCCTGGCCGTAACTGGGCTTAAGGAACAGAAAAGCCTCGCGTACCCTAAACATTTTTCTCAATTGTGTTATAAAAACGTCAAACGTGGATAAATCGTAAACGGTAAATAAATCCATATATTACGGATTTGGAAAAAATAATAAACCACGTTAACGAATTAGGGGACCTTACGTTCCTAAAATAGACAACGAAATGAAATTTCGCGCGCATTTTCCAGTGGACACGAATCCGAAGGAAGCCATTTTACTTCGCGGTTTTGTCGGAAAGAACAATGGAAACGAGAAGAAAATTTGTTAACTCTTTGGGGCACGCTGGGATTAAAAGTGTCCCACCTTTTTGCTGCACCGTAATGCATCGTGGGACATTTTTATTATAGTATTTTTTATTATATATTTTAGTATTTTATATTTTATAACAGTCTCACCTCGAAATATTGCAATAACTGCATACGAATAAGCTTATACCTCATATTATTTGCGTAAAGCAGTTGGTAATAACTTCAACAAACGTTATAAATATATTCACTTGTGTGGGTAATAACAATATATAACAATTAAATTCAATTCAATTCAATTATTATTATTTTTTTACGTTTTTACATTATGTGATTCCTTTATGAGTAAGAATATACCAATTTTGTTTCATTTAAAAGGCAATAAAGTTTCTGTGCAACACGAGTCCATTTTATTATCTGCGCTAGAACCGTACTAATCGCGACATCTATTAGAATAACGAGTTACTATAATAGATTTCATTTGGGAGCCATCTTGGCTTCGCGTGCCCACTGTGCATGTGTCGTTTTTGTTTTGTTCCGATCACTCTTGTTTCGGCAGTCACTGATAATACACGTATTAATTTAGTATTTTTATTAAATATGTATATTAAGGTGAATACTAGAAAACTCGAATATTAAATCTCAATCCATGGATCTGAAATCTTGTGCCGCAAAGAGTTTTGAAGTATAGATAGGAAGTCGAGTAATCTCGAATGTATTATAGGATCATTTTAAAACGTAAAACAAAGGTAAATATTTTTGTCCTCTACGAAAGCTCGCTATTTGGAGCGAAAGAAAATTTTAGAGTCGTTGAAATATACTTGTAAGAAAAGGACCTAATCCATTACGCGTTTCGAGGCTTCTCGATTCGAAACTTTCGCATATTGCTTCGCGAGAAACGTTTCTCCTAATTATAATTATTTAAATAAATCGAAGGATCGCATGGGTTATAAAGTGTGTGCATTGGGTAAACACGCTGGATCGAAATTTTTGCATAGAGATCGATATGATTCGCCGGTGAAGGTGTACTGACCTAGAAACGGCAGCTGTCCTCGATTATTCCGGCTGGAAAGCCAAAGAACGCTCGCGAGGTGTATAATTTATAATCCATGCGTGAATTCGAGTCAGACATTAGACCGCAATAGCCCCTTTCGAACATCGCGGCTATTTTCAACGAGATTCAACGATACTTTAGTAATACT